AGTAAGGTGCAATCCAACATCCATTATGATAAAAACTCTCAACAAATCCAGAGTGAACATATACCTCAACATAATACAGGCCATATATGACAAGACCATAACTATTATCATACTTAACAGTGAAAAGCTGAAAGTTTTTTCTCTAAGATCAGGAACAAGACAAAGATGCTCACTCTCACCACTTTTATTCAGTGCAGTATTGGAAGTCCTAGTCAAAGCAACTAAGCAAAAAATAAAATAAATAAATAAATGGCATCCAAATAAGAAAAGGAAGTAAAAGCGTAACAATTTGCTGATGACATATTACATATAGAATATCCTAAAGACTCCACCAAAAAACTGTTAAAACTAATAAATTTAGTAAAGTGGCAGGATACAAAAATCTGTTACATTTCTACATACTAATAACAATCTATCAGAAAGAAGTTAAGATAACAATTCTATTTTAAATTGCATTGAAAAGATAAAATACCTAGGAATAAATTCATTGCTTTACTCCCTTACTTTGACGTAGTCTTCAGGAGCTTTCTGAAAAAATGGTGCATGGGAGATAAATACAGATGACCTTATATGTCTGAAAATATCCTACTCCTACACTTAATAGTTTAGCTGGGTATAAAATTCTAGGTTGTAAACACATTTTTAAAATCAAGACTTTTGAGGGCATTGATCCATTTTCTTCATTTCCAGTGATGCTGTTTGGGATGCCCAATGCTTTTGTAATGTCTAATCCTTTGTACTGTTTTTCTTCTGTCTCTGGATTGTCTGTCCAGTGTTCTGAGATTTCATGATGATGGAGCCTGGCATGGGTTAAAATTAATTGCTTTGGACACTCAGATCTTTCAGTCTGAAAACTTATGTCCTTAGATTTGGAAATTTTTCTTATAGTCTCTTGCTGAAAATTTTCTACCCTCTGTTTTCTTTCTGGAACTCCTGTTAATCAGACGTTGAATATTCTAGACTGATCTTTTTTTCTTACGCTTTCTCTTCCATTTTCTTTTTCCCACTTTTTTAGATATTTTTCTCACTTTCAACTTGCAACTCTTCTGTTGAATTTATTCCCTTCATATTTTTAATCTTCCAAGAGTTCTTCCTTATTCCTCTGAATATTTCTGTTATAGCCTCTTACACACTTAATCATGGTATAAGGTGCTATGCCAGTAGTTCTCAACCCTCACTGCACGTCATCATAAAAACCTGGGTAGCTTGTACAAACTGGTGCCCAAGGATTACTCTCAGGGAATATGATTTAATTGGTCTAGGGTGTGTCCCAAGCATAGTTTTTTGTTGTTGTTTTGTTTTTTAATTGGCTTTCTCATCTCCACTAGAAATAAGCACTTGTCATCATCTCCTTTATGTTTAGACTGAGGCCTGGTGCCTAGTAGGCATTCACTAAACAATTGTTGAATGAATAAATGAATAAAGCACTGTTTTGTAAAGGAAGGTTGTAAAATAAGGATTTATAGGCAACCTACTTTTGTTCATGTTTTCCCTAAATATATCTTAAAACCTAATTCCTCAAAGTCAAACAATAGTCTTGCATGTCAAAATGTATTTAAAACTCAAAGTTAAAATTCTGAAATTGCCTATTTCATCTCACCTTTTAGGTGTCTTTAACATATTTCTTATGAACTAGGAGGTTCAAATGTAATTATCTTCACCTCATTTTCTGCTGTGACCCCAAGGCAATGGTTGCTGTATATCAAGGAAAGGAGCAGGACCAGTGCAAGACTATGAAGGTAGCCCAAAGTGAGTTCCAACTTCTGCCTGATCTTTACCCTATGAAAGAGCTGGAAGATAGAGAACAACTTTTAGAAGCTGGTGATGTGCTGACTTCCACCACCCATGGAGGGAGGTGGTGGGTGATTCTGCTTCCCCTTGAGTCAGCAGAGGGAGACCCTGAGAACCAGAGGACAAAAGGCAAGTTATAAGGGGCCAAAGAGAGTGCATCATTCAAAGTAAGGGAATGGGAGGCAGGAGGACAAGAGAGGTGGATGGAGTGGAGGGACAAGGGGCAGGCCTCTGAAAACTCATGAAAGATGTACCGGAAGCACAAGTTTCAACTTTAAACACACCCCAGGCTCAGAGAAGCAGACGTTCACAACAGTATGAATGTTCTTCTTCCTCTCATCTTAGCAACAGGGGACAAAAGAGGTGATAGTACAAGGCGGGGAAACAAGGCCAAGGCCAAGCACTTGCTACATCCCTCTCCCTCAGCCCCCACTGCAGGAGGCAGGGTTGGCAGCAGGCCCAGGCCCAGGAAGAGCCGGCCTCTATCTCCAGATGCAGTTCAAAGGTTTTGTTACACAGGACTAGACACATCATCTACCAACTGGAGGGCCTTCAGTATCCAGAAGTGATGGGCGAAGCCTGGGACTTCCCTACATCAGGGACAGGGGACGGGAAGAACGGGCCCCAGTGAATAAATTTAGACAGTGGGAGACCAACATAAAGTTGCTCTTTGATCCAATTGAGCTTAATAATAGGACTAGTACTTTGAATGTGCTACTTTCCTTCTCAGTTGAGTATGACTGATCAGCTGAAGTTCACTGACATTGGATTGTGTCTACCAATTTGATGTTTGGCAACTTAAATGATCGAATTTGTGAGATCTCCCATTTTTCTTAGTACTTCACTAGAACCTGAATTTGGTGTGGAAAGGTGGTTTAGGATTCTCAGTGGAAAAGTGTACAAAACTACAGCTGATCTGAGGGTCAAACATATGAAAGGGGAGAAAGCCTGTAATTCCTAGAGTGTTTTAAAAGCACATTTTTTTGGAGAAAAGGTGATACCAACTTACAAAGAAACATCAGAATTCCAATAAACAGTGGTAAGTGTTGAGATGGGGGATGAAGGATGGAGGCGGTGGCAGCTGCTGCATTTTTTGAGAGGCAACCACTTCCCTGGACTGCAGGCCTCCGTACCGGGACCCCAGCCAAGAGCTGCACCTTGCAGGGTGGTTTTTATCTGATGGGAATCAAAACATGGTTGCATTTGGGGAGCAGGTATGGATATGGGCTCGGAAGAACTTTCTGGGTGTGATGTGATCTTGAAAGGGGGGTTGGGTTGACAGGTGTACACATTTGTCATTTAAGTGGTACACTTAGGATTTGTGCATTTCACTATATGTAAATCTTACTTAACCACCTTCCCAAAAAGGTAAACTAGCTCATGGTATGGACATTGACGTATTTAGGAATTTAGGAGTGTGTATTGTCTGCAACTGTCCTTTGAAATGCACAAAAAAAAGAAAGAAAAAAAGATGGAAGAATGGACAGTTATAGATATTGCAGAATATTAGTTGTAGAATAAAATTGAGAATATATAATTGTTTCAACTATAAATTTGAAATTTTTCAAAATGCTGGGAGCAGGCACACCCTTGCCCTAGGAAAATGTACTTCTGAAGCCCAGAAGCCATGCCCATCCCTCTGTGCCCAGGACAGTAGTCAGTGACGTTAGTAGATACTGTATTCCTGTACACACACTACTCTCAAGTACAGAAACACTATATAGGGTATTTGCATGTGTTATACTATTATTTAGGTTGCTTTTAAAAACATGCAGTTTTACATCTTACAATGTAAAATGAGAAGAGATGGTGCTGGCCGCCATACCTCACTTTTAAAACTGAGTTACAGATCCTGGGTCACTTTGCTCAGTCCTGCAATCACCCTTCCTTCCGGGTGTGCTTCCTGAGTCCGCAGAGACAGGGCACACATGCAGTGGTTTCCTAGGGAATGTTCTACTTAAGAATTTGGGGAAGATTATTTGAAACGTTTATTTCTAAATTAAGACATAGATATATTATGAAATGGAAAATTCCTAGGATCTTTCACTAAAATAGGAGATTTTGAAGAAATTTGCTCAGCCCTTATAAACTACACCCCTAGGTACGTGTTTTACTTCCCCGATACCATTTCAGGAAACTTCACTGGAAAATGTAGAAAAGTATTTTGCTGGATGAAAGAACTCACACTGTAAACAAGGCTGCTTATAGGGAAAGGAGGACAATGAAGGGGGATTTCAAAGTTTGCATTAAACAGTTTTAAATATTTTCCCTCTGTAACAAGAAACAAAAGACAAAAAGAAAAACCTAATAAAAATTAAATGCATGTGATTTCTGGAAGAAAAAAATCCCAGAGTGCTGCTGAGTGATGGGTGGCCGTCCTACAGTGTCAGATAGCAGGCACCTTCTGGGACCTGCACACATGACCCTAAGGGGAGGCAGATGTTCACTCAGGTGGAGTGGGACCACCCAGGACATCTGGGGAAGGCAGTGCCGGAAGGGAACTTTTGGAGTAAAAGACCTGTGCTCCCACCTGTGAGACCTTGGGCAAGTCATTCTCTAGATCCCAATTTCCTCATTATTAAGATAGCTTTGACACCCTGTCTATAGGGTACTGTGAAGATATGAGCCACAGCACATAACACACCATGTGCATTCTGGGCACTCAACACACACTACTACTTTCCTTTCCCCAGGGCAGTGGGACAGAAACAAATCTTTCAAAACGTTGATGGGAGCCTAGCTCGAGTGGCTCAGTTGGTTAAGTGTAGTCCCGTGCACCAAAAGGTTCCTGGTTCGATTTCCGGTCAGGGCACATGCCTATGTTGCAGGTTTGATCCCCAGACAGGGAGCATATGGAAGGCAACCGATCAGTGCTTCTCTTTCACATTGATGTTTCTCTCTCTCTCTTTTCCTCTCTCTAAGCATGTCCTTGGGTAAGGATTTGAAAAAACAAAAACCCCAAAACATTGGCGGGAGTGGTAAATGACAAGAGGGATGGCAAGGGACAAGAGACCCAGAAGCCAGGGTTCCAATTATAAATCAAGCTCAGCTCAGCACATATGGCCACAGGTGCCATTAAGTAGCAGGCCTCAAGCTCTGAGCACAATCCGCCGGGAGGCTGGAGGTGGCACCGGGGCTCAGCCTTTAGGCCACATCATGACACAGGAAGAGAGAGCCTTTTCAACCTACTGTTTAAAGACACACAGAGGGCAAGTTTCAGTTATTTTTAGTTAAAAGAAAAACAGCCTTTTCCAAGAGCAACAAAGTAAACTGAAAGTCAGAAGGAAGCAGGGTGTGGGCCTCTCTCAAGCTCTTGCTCCAAAACTGGACCTGAGGAAAGAGGGCCCTCCTGGGAACTCAGGGCAGACTGGCCCACAGACGGATGACTGAGGTGGGACAGGGTGGAGCTGCAGCCCATGTTGGTCACTGGATTGGTCTGCATGGGCTCTAAGGTGATGTCCACCTGCCAGTCGGTTGACATGATTAACATTATTCTTGGGGGCATTAAATTAAGGAATGATGCATGGAGCCAAGAGTGCAGCTTATTCAGTTGGATTCTGAACCACAATCAGGAAGTAGTCTTTATCTGCAAGACAAAAATGAGAAAACAAGTCACTAAATGTAAAGTGCGAGAAAAACACACTCCAAAGGAAATAAACCATTAAATCATCAACCACTTCCAATTGCTGGGAAACAAGGTAAACTGGCAAGTTCCTGTGGGGGCTTCTGCTACTGTGACCTGGTGGTGACCTCAGGGCACAGCCTCTTTTCTAACCTTCCCGGTACCCACAGGGAGGAAGAAGAACATCTCTGTTTTCTGAGTAAGGAAACTCAGGTTCCGAGAGTTTAAATAAACTGTCTGTGGAACTGGTTCTCAACATGGAGGCCATTCGAAGAGCCTGAGGGCTGGGCTCAAAACAAACACAAACACGGCTGGGCCCCACCCCCAGCTCTTTGGATTCAGTAGGTCCAAAGTAGAACCTGAGAATCTGTATTTTAACAGGTTCCCAGGTGATGCTGAAGCTGCAGATTCTGGGAGAACCACTAGTTTAAGGTGACCCAGCAAATCAGTGTCAAAGATGGAATATCAACCTCACCCATACTGCTCTTAGGTCAGTGTTAGTTCTGTCACAGCTGGATGAGAAAATTTCAAAGGCTCCAGATCAAAGGGGGCCAAAGCTACAAGGATTCCAGCTCTGGGGATCCCGCCCAGTAAGGAGGAATGTCCATCATGAAATCATCGATGTCCAAGACCTCAGGGCTGAGTCTGACTGCCCCTCACTTTATAGAAGAGGAAATTAGAGAAGCAGTGTTTCAACTTTTCCCACTTAATTATCAAATCACAAAAATTTACCAAGGCTTCCATGTGGCCAGACCTGGACCAACCACTCTCGTATGGCTCCTCAATGAATCCTCAAATCACCCTGAGGCAGGTACTAGTGTTTTCTCATTTTGCAAATGAAGACACTGAGGCTCAGAAAGTTACATGTCTTGCTCAAGCCAAGGCAAAAATGCGGGGCGGGGTAGCTGGGTTTGACCGCCCTGCTCAACAAAAGAGAAATGGCAGGACCTCGGCCACATCTGCTTTGTGTGTGCTGGTTTAAGCCTGAAGCTGCTTTCTCCCATGGAGGCTGGCTGATGGGACTGGGAAGAAGCAGATCTTATATGACTAATAGTTTCACGACTAAGCAATCTGTATGAGTAAAGAATATCTTACTAATAAAAATAAAAATAACTAAAGCCACCAATACACCAATACGCAGGCGCAATTAGCAATACTAACATCTCTTCTTCCAAAAATCAAGCTCTAAATTCACGAACGTCACTCTAAGTGCTCTGTGGAAGCAGTTTTAAAGCTTGGTTATGCTGTCAACTCAGCTTTACATCAGTGAAGTTTAACAAATGAAAACCAAAAGCCTGTCTGAAAACATGTCTTTCTAAGGGCTATTTCTGGGCCAGGATAGGGTGAAATTTGGTATCTATGTGGAGAACCACAGGGTCTGAAACCACCTGCTGCTACTTTTGGTCTTCTCAGTTTGACCAATGAGGAAGCTTAGGTGGGAAGAAAGGGACGTGGACCTCCTTCCTGGGCAGGGCTACTCCAGGCAGCTCCCACAATGTGGGGTGCTAATTATAGTCCCGGAAGGGCCCACCTCACACACACCCAGCAGCCAGGCTGTTCTATGCTGGGTGCTGCCCCTGTGGGGCCTGTGCTCTAGGAAAATCCTAAGGCAACCCAGACCTAATGCCTCAGAGGCTCTGCTCAGTGGCTCCTGACAGTATTTTTTTCTTTCTATATCAAAGTGGGTGCATCAAGATGTCAAATCATTGGTTTTCATCCTAAATAATATGTCCCACAGACATTCCTGATCCCCCTCTCCACTGCTGACCCCACCTCCAACCCCCACAGTGGGGTGTCAGCAATGGAGGGAGGTTTAGGAAGTCATTCGTTTATTCAACAACTATTTGTCAAATGCTTACGATGTGTTTACAAGTTTCTGTCCTCTTGAAACTGTCTAGTGGGGGAGACAGACTTAAAAATGCAGATGAGCAAGCTGGTTGGCCAAGAGAGAAGGCAGGACAACAGTGCTGCCAGTAGCAGGATGCTCATGTGCGAGGGCCCAGGGAGAGGCTCTGAAAGGCAGCAGGTGGCTGGAGAAGCAGGGAGGAACACTCACTGCATTTAAGGCAACCTGGAAAAGACACCCCATGGCATAACGGGGAGTGTGTGTGAGCGGGCGCCCAACGAGGATGTGAGTGCAAGAGAGTGAGCAGTAGGAGCTGCGCACCCTCCCTGTGGGCCTCTGCATGTCGCCAGGGCAAGGGTCTGGCCCCTGCATCCTCGCCTCCACTGACAAGGCTCAGGGGCTTCTGGGCCTGTGCACCCAAAGGAGAGCCTCTAACTGGACTCAAGCACCAATCACTCCCATGAACTCTGAAAGCCTGCAGGTCCTTCAAGGGCAAGCTGGAGATGCCTTTGCTGCTGAGCTGGGACAATGGCCAGAAGCTTTCAGATAACACTGCTGTTCCAGAGGAGACACTCTTGGAAGCTTTAGGTCAAGAGACACTGTCCATGGAGTCAGTCTGATTTGGAGACTGCAAAATTCGTCATTGCCTCACACTGAGCTCCCATGTGGACTGCTCTGTGTGCAGGGTCAGTGGGGGGACCATTCCTTAGCCTAACTTTTAGGGAAGCAGAGGTACCTCCAGTCACACAGCATGAAGTCTTGGGATGGATCTGAGTTCATATCTGGTTCTGAGCCTTTCTGCTCCACCCCCTGCCAACATACTCAACCAGATGGGGTGTCTCAGAGGACCAGGGCAGTACAGCCCCCTACGTGACACTTCACAGATGTGAAAACAGAGGTTCAGAGGTGTTCTATGACTTGCTTAAGGTGACATTCATTAATTGCTAAAGCTGGGAAAATGAACTCTGCCTGCTACAGTCTGTTTTCCCTGACAGAATCAGAGACATCACAGACAGTGATTACATTGATAAACAGTGTACAGCATATTTTTGGAATCAGTGGCTCTAAAGTTATCCTATGTTCTTTCCTGGGACTGGCCTACTCTGTCCCCACCCCTCCAGGGAGACCGTGGGCCCTTGTGACTCGCTCTATGGTTCTCTCCTTCACATCCTTCCAAGCTGCTGGGTGGCTGGAATAGGTCTTGGAACAGAACCAATATGGCTCTGCTGCTGGGAGTGTGGTACCCTCTCCCCCTTCAGATTACCCCAGAATTCTGTAGCCAGTCTCTTTGCCATCTGTGCTACCAAGCCCAGGGGCATTCAGTATCCCCAGCCTCCCCACTGCCTCCTTCATCTAGGCCCCAATAACAATCATATTGCCTCGTGCCTTAAAAACCTCTGCTCACAGGGTGCAGTCCACACGGAAGAGTCTGGTGTTTGAGGCCTTTTCTAAACTGGACCAAACATCTCACCTTGCACTCCTTCCTCACATATTCTGGTACCCTAGACAAACTGCACAGCAGCCCACCTGCATCGTCACATGCACACTCAACTATGTGGCTCAGCCAGAAGAGAGGGGGAGAGAGAAGTAGCAGGCAAAAATAGTCCTGGAGAACCTGTCCACCACTCCAGTCTAAACGCTGAGTGAGGTGAGGCAGGATAGGTGGCCCTGCTGTTCTCTCCCGGGGTCCCAGTCCTTGTGGGGGGCCCCCCAGGATGAGCATCTCATCATCCTGAGAATTATCCTAAGACCTAAAGACAGGTGTTGTTTGTACCACACAGCCCCTGAGTACAAGCCAAGCACTTCATGTGAAACAAAAACAGCAATCAGTTCTAATGCTAGAGGAAAAGCCGGCTGCATGAGGCCCAGAGACATGGGGCTATACTTTTGAAGCGGGAAACTGAACATTTTTTCAAAGATAAAATGACTTCACAGTGTTTTTGCCTTCTGCTTTGGTTTTGAATCACTGAATCTTTTCCCTTCAAACTTAGTTTTCTTGCCCCTCCACCTTGTTTACACTCTTTCTTGTGCCCTCAAGATTCAGCTGACACGTCCCCTCTTCTGGGAAGCCTCTGTTGATTGCCCAAGAAGGCCAATCACACCCTCCATGTTCCCAAGCGCTCCCTGAACATCCCATCAAGACAAGGGTCACACTGTGTCATGCTTATGTGTCTATCTGCCCCATGAGACCAGGATTCCCCTCTAAGGCCCAGAACCCAAGACAAGGTCTGACCCACAGTCACTGCAAATGAGTATTTGTTGGGGATGCCAGTCAGAGACTGTGCCAGCCAGCAGTCACCTCTGTGCTTTCAACTCTTCAGGCCTTTCTGTGGAACCTGAGGAGACACCAATGTGCTAAACCTTCCTGATAAGCTAAAGAGCATGTGTTATGACGGCCTGATCCTAAGAGGGGATGTGGAACACCTCTTACCTGGTGCAACCATAATTTCATTTTTCTTAGAGCGAATTCGAAGAAAGGTGAGGTCATTCTGGGGGTCAATTTCACGCACGGTGCTCCGGGCCTTCAGGATGAAGCTGTGCATGAGGTTGGCATACTGTGTGGTGGTAGGATTGTCCATGGTGCTCTTAATGGGAATGCCTGAGTGGAGAGTAGGGAGAGTCTGAGCAAGATGTTGAGGCTTTTCTGACCAGCTCCCAACCCCACAGCCCTAATTCTATAGAGTGCTGGGCTGGCAGTTAACAATCATGCCACTATTTACCGAAGGCTTGGCAGGCACAGTGCTGAGTGCTGCAAGCATGTCACTGCCAGTCCCCAGAACTACTATGAGGGCGGTGTTACCATCTTCACTTGCCAGTGAGGCAAGAGAAACTCTAGTAAGCGTTCTGCTACGGTCACACAGCAGATAAGCAGTGGGGCCAGCATTTGATGCAGGCCTGCTGGCTCCACTGCTGGGCTCCTTTCTCAGGGCCACAGAGACTTTCATTCAGAACACTCAGAACCTGAACAAGGAGGACAGCACTTACAAATCTGTAAACACTGAAGAGTAGGAAGAAGAAAAAAGGTCAGCTATGCCAAGACATAACCGTCACTAGTGTGCTGTTCCTGTTCCCAAGGGAGGCTTAGGGCCCAGCTGTAAACACTGTCTGTACACATGAAAATTAAAGCCGTTTCTCTGACTGCTTACACCCTGTAAACAGCATTGCAACCGCTTTCAAAGAGCCCACAGTGGCCATCCCACTGAGTTCATCACGACTCTCCTGTTGGATACTAAGGAGATTTTTAACCTAATTACTGCGCAATGAACACCATTGTGCATCAAGCCTTTCCTGTTTTGAAGACTGTTTCCCTGCGATGAACTATTACATGGATCTCCCTAACAGGACTGTGTCTACTGTCATGGGGGTGAGGAATGGGGCTCAGCTTGAGTGACCTCAGGTCTCAACTGGATCATCAGGTGCCTGAGAATCACTGAGACACATCAACAGAAGGCTGCATCAGTGAGGCCCCAGGTACCCACAGCTGAAAGGCATTTGTGATGAATGTGGCACAAGGGGCTCCTCACACATAAGTGGCCGGCTGTGGGACCCAGGCCCTGCTAAGCTGGTCCGAAAGTGATCAGCCAAAGGCCGTCACCCTCAGGACCACCGATGAATGGCAAGAAACTGGCCCAACCTTGTCTCCTTAGGGCACAGGAACATGAGTGTGAACAGGAGAGGACACAGTGTTAAGAGAAGCAGCTGAGTCAGTGAGGCTATTGGAGCCAACTGGAGCCAACTGAAGCCATGAGAACTGGCTGTAGTGACCACTTGCCTTTAAGAGACAAGACAACTAGGTCATTGGGGAGCTTCTGGGTCCTAGCTGGCAACAATGTGCCCACCTTTCTAAGGATGGTAGCAGCAGCAGCTGGGGTGATGACTGAGCAGAAACTCTGAAACCCGAGGACCTGAACGCATCCCCCTGCTCTGCCACCTCATGGCTATGTGGCCTTAGACAAGCGATTTAACTTCTCTTCTTCTGTTTCCTCATCTGTAAAATGGCTGTGCTTCAAAGTGCTGCTGTGAGGATTAAATACAGTTTAAGAATGTTTAGCAAGAGTATGCATGTAATAAATGTGAGTGGTTTGTTATCAACACCACCCACACAATGAATCCCATCCCCTAGGTAACCTGAGCAGCCAGTCTCAAGACCTGGCAAAGTTTAGGTGATAAAACCTCTTGACCTTCACTTTTATATACAAGGGCACCGTCTCTCGGATTCCCCTGCCTGGAACTTTCCTTTCTTCTCCTACTCTCCCACAACTCCCACAGGTCCCTCAGGTCTCCATCTTCTGGTGGCTCCACCCGTCCCAGATATGGTCAATGAATGCCCCATTCTACCATCCATCACCATGCAATTTTCCTTTAGAGCAGTTACTCGAGTTTGATATCACACCTTTATGGAAGTGACCATTATGTTTGTCCCTAGACAGGACCAGATCTGATTTGTTCACCAGTGTCCTCAGAGAGACTGCATTAAGCATTTATTGCTGCTGATAAATGAGAAGTCACAAGGGCTACTTTCAGTAGTTTAGACATGAGTTTGATTACATTCCTACCAAGTGAGAGGGTGTGTAAAGGAGACAAGAATCTAACCACTTGTTGGCTCATTTTAAAAACAAAAGAAACCATGAAGGTAGTGGTGGGGCAGGGACTGAAACAGGAGAATTTCAGGTAAGGGCAGGAGGTCATAGAATGCCAGATTCACAGGATCCAGAGCCAGGGACACTTCAAAGATATCCCAATGATTAGGCCACCTACCCCAAGCCACTGCCTTCACAAATGGGGCTGCAGATTGCAGAGTTAGCTGGTACCAGGGAGGCACAATTTCTAACCTGAGGCTCAGATCTGTCAGGTTGTGTAACCAGACCCTTCCACCAAACCCAGCTCCATCAATGAACGACAACAACAAATTAAAAATATATTTTTAAAAGATATGTCTTTATTGATTTCAGAGAGAGGAAGGGAGAGGGAGAGAGAGTCATTGATCAGCTGCCTCCTGCACCCCCCCCCCCCCCCCC